CCACTACCTACTCTACTACTACTACTACGACGACGACGACTACTACTACCACTACTGCTACTGCTGCAGCTACTACTACTACTACTGCTGCTACTACTACTACTACTACTACTACTGCTACTGCTACTACTACGACTGCTACTGCTACTGCTACTGGTACTTCTGCTGCTGCTGCGGCTGCTGCTACTGCTACTACGACGACGGCTACTTATTGCTAGTACTAGCAATATGTCGCGCGAAAGCGAGGTCGAAAGGAACACAGTAATCCGCGAAGAAACCGTTTCCAATTGAACGAGCATTGTTCAATGTTCATGTATATATGTATATATAGATATACACATGCTTTTTTGTTGTTGGCGCACATATGTACAGGTGTCGCTGTGTGTGCAGGTGTATGACGTATGATGCGACATGCACGGATGCCTGACATGTCTCGTGTGTGGAAGGACCCGTACGGCAGCCCAGGCCAAGCGAACATTTGTCATGAAGTGCGTCAAACTGTTTTGGGAGTGCCTTCGACAGGAAGGGATCCGTATGCTCCCGGACGCAGGTTTGGTCAAGGCCAGCTGAGTTTCTTATGTGCTATGCCCGTTTCCAACCATCTACGGCTGCGGCACATCTCAGCGGAAAGTGGTTACGGAAGGTCATGCAAAGTGCCAGCTCATGTCACTGTTGTCTCGGTTCAAGCTTTGACACTTGTTGAGCAGGCATTTTTATCGCATCGGCACGGTCATGATAGATGACAATGCATCAATTGTAATCGTTTGCGCCCTTCACGTCGTTATCGGACAAGTTTTGGCGACAACAGTATCGTTTAGACGATTTTTGTTCACATGTTTTATTTTGTGAGCTTGCCTATCATTGTCTTGAGCCCGCCAATGGCAGTTGCAACTGTTTGTTTTTTTTGTGACCCTTACCCACTTGTTGTTTGGAGCATGTTGACACATGGAGTGACCCCGACCGTGCAATTAGTATGGCGCTTTGCGTCCGAACTGGTTTGAATGGTGGAGGAAGGGTTCTTGGGCAGGGTGTATCATTCCGGTGTCCCGCGATCATGGTGCTCTCTCACTGTGGACGACATCCTTGTTCGTTTATAGACCAGTGATTCTACAAAGCCTGGTCAGAGTCCAGGCAGTCGCAGTCCTAGTAGTAGTCGTAGTAGCAGTGGCATGCAGTGGCAGTGGTGGCAGTGGTGGCAATGGAGCAGGAGC